TGAGATGGTACATGGTTGTACACAATTGAGGTGTTTAGCATGCATCCTATTAACCCAATCCACAAAACAGTTTATTTGCCATATAGGCATGATACCTATGAAATCGAACGCTGGTCTCAAGTGTCCTCTTGGGGAACGTAGATGCCGAAACGAAACGGAAACCATTAAGAAGAATTAAGAGGCGGCTCTCATCTGAGTAAAATGTGACGATTATTTTTGCTGGACAAAAGATCAAAGTCTTAGTCAAGTAAATATACACCCCTCTGACTCGAATTGAACCTATATTTATTTTTAATCAGAGTAAAACCTTAAGGCCAGGTGTGCTATTACTATTACGTGAGAGAACGCCACTATAGAAGAGTAGAATATTGCGAGAAAGGAGGATTTCTTTGGTAAAAAAGAAAAGTGTACTGAGCTGCTACGTGATATTTGTCCTTCTTTACGGCAGCGAGTGTTGGACGGTCTTCTCAAAGATAAAGACACTCATGACAACAGAGGTATGGTTCTACAGAAGGATGCTAAGGATATCATGGACTGAGTGTGAGAGCAACGACGGGATCTTGGAGAGGATGCCAACAAGGAGGAAGCTGATACTTAACAAAAGGAAGAGGCAGATGAAATTTCTGGAACACGTAATGAGAAAGAAGGGCATAGAGAATGTGATACTCAAAGGTCGAATTGAGGGAAAGGAAGACAAGGGAAAGCAACGCCTGACATAACTGGTGGGCTTAAGGAAGTGGATGATGGTCTGGGGAGGAGGCAGAGGGTCGAAACTTATTGAGAGCTACAAGGGATAGGGGGAAGTGATTGGACACGGCACATAAAAAAGTAAAGAAAACGGCTCAATTAACCTATTTAAATAATGCACATTTCTCTTTGGGAGTTTTCAAAGTCTATATAAAGTTTAAACATTGCTAACAGATAACGATATGGATGTTTTTCATATCTGGTTAAAGTCTTTTTATGAGCCTGTATATGTTTATGAGGACAAATTGACTATTACAAAATCATATTTTCATGCTTCATGATATAGGTAGAAGTAATTTATGAAACTGTCATTAGATTCCAAAATGCAACAACAGATATGTTCCAAATGAAGTCTTTTAAAACAAAAAATCAGTTCACCCCAAGTAAGGCAATAATACCACTAAGATGCAAGGTGATACTGTGAATAAAAGAGTATGAAATGGTTTTAGAAAGAGCTAAAAACCCATTCTTAAACACGAAATAAAAGACAAACATCTATTCCTGTCCAAAAGACAGGAAAAAGTATGAACCGGATATCAAAATCTGATATATGAAAGGCTTAAACATTTACATTATAGAGAATAAATATTAAATTAATCATAACATTTAGAAAGAACACTATTACATAATTAACCTGAGATGGAACTTCCATTATAAACGTTTTTAACAAAAAAAGTATTTGAAAAATTTTAAAACATGATAAACTTTGTATCCATTTTGTTTCACTTTAGTTGCAAAGAATATACGAAATGATTAGAGAAATTCTTATACGGCAAATAATGCATATTCATTTTTTATTCTCGATAAAATCATTGTCAAATTTGTTTGAAACAAAAAACAAAACTTTCAATAAATATATATTTCCGGTTAAATAATAAAAAAATATTAACTGTAGAGAAAGTAATCAAGTAAAAGAAAAAAGAATGAAATACCCATTTTCTGTGAAAAGGAGGAATGAATGGAGATCATCCAGATTGGCAATATAATCACAGATGAGGTAAAGTGAGACGGAAGTATATAAACATAGAGGAATAACAAAAGATGTCGTTCAGAAACCAAAAATAGCCTTAACACGTTAGCTGCTATATAGTCATATATTTGTTAAGTGGTATTTCATTTTATGCTGTGTCTCCAGATACTGGTGACGTTTATATTTTCATTTTAATTCAGCAAATGTTTTATGCATATTTCTATAAAATTAATGTCTGTGGGTTCCTGTTAACATATTTGGGGAAATGCAACTGACACTCTGTTTCTCATATCTTTTACTTGAATGCTTTATAAATGTGTAATAAAGGTATGAAAAACAAAGCTCAAAGAAAAACTACAGCATTACTAATGTTTGCAGATTTAATTTTGTCACCAATATATTGTGACGTGACCGTTATTATGAAATAAATATAAATAACATATAGCACTTAAAATGCTTCTTCATTACCAAGCAGCTAACTGTTAAAAATTACGTATATTATATATATATATATATATATATATATATATCATTTGGTTCATTGATTCGTTTTGTATGCCAAAATTATGAAATAAATGTAAATAACAGATACAGCACGTAATAATTCGTGTTTATTAGCTAGAAGCATCTAACTGTTTAAAATTATATATATATATATATATATATATATATATATATATATATATATATATATATATATATATGTGTGTGTGTGTGTGTGTGTGTGTGTGTGTGAAAAGTGTGTGTATATAAATATAAATAAATATATATATGTATAATTATTTATATATTATATGCAAGGGTACTTATTAGAAAGCGCTCAATATCAGAGATAGAGCTAACATATTTGGTTGGATAGATGTGAGTTTGTGACCCTGGGTTTCACGCTTTTGCGATCGTCTGACGATCGCTAAAGCGTGAAACCCAGGTAAAAAAACTCACATCTATCCAACCAAATATATATATATATATATATATATATATATATATATATATATATATATATATATGTGTGTGTGTGTGTGTGTGTGTGTGTATATATATATATATATATATATATGGTTGATTGATTCGTTTTCTATGGATGATCAACTCTTCTAAGATTATTTAAAGCCAGGAAATATTTTAAAATTATGAGCATATTTTTATAATAATAATGACTTAGTGATACAAGTCTTAATAGTTAACCAATATGTGAGGGAGAAGTGGTAGATTCATGCCTTTCCCAAGAGTGAATATAACGAACCCAAGTGGAATTGAAGCATTCCGAGCCATTATCCATTTCACTACACGTACAATCAAGCTTACAGCACCTGGTATTTCAAGTAATAAGCTATCTAGGCCCGTTGTTGCTGATCATACGGGTACCGGTGTTTAACGTAAACCATATATAATTTGGACTCCCCACCAAAAAAAACAAAAAACAAAAACAAAAAAAAACAAAAACAAAAAAAAACAAAAACAAAAAAAAACAAAACAAAAAGAACATTAAACACACACGAAAGTAGACAGTACTACGTGTTGGTCACATCGATTCTGAGGATCGCAAAATAAATTTGGCGCGTATTTTCTCTAAATTTATTAATATTAAAAATGCCATTGATATCTAATATATTCAAAGTATTTTTTTAAAATATACCAAAATAAGGACACATGGCACAGTGGATAAAGGCATTGGTTAGATCCATTGACAGGACCCAAAGAGTGTGAGTTCAATACCCGGTTAAGGCAGTGTAGAACTTTCAGAGGGAAATTAGCAGGAGATAACTGATAACTGACATCCATCAAACGTGGAACGAGAACAGTCTACCTCAGTGAGCGAAATAAAGGGTTCAGTTCGACATTCCAACCTCCTGAAACGGCCGAAACGTTGTGATAAATATGGCGACAAAGATGAGGACAATCGTCCGAATAATTTAAATAATGTACCAAAATAAATCGTGATCCCAATAGTTAATTTGTGTTGGCAGTCAACGGGTTAAGAGAAAGTGAAACCAGTGAAAATCAATTAAGTAGGATAGAAATCTCGAAACCATTGTTTTTTTTTTTTATTTATCTCACTCGATGAACGGAAAGACGTATGCAAAACGTGTCTTCAGTTCTAACAATAACAAGTATAATAAGAAATAGTTGTTTCATCGCCATACGTTTCCTTGGCCTAACTGGTAGGTCACACTTGGCTGAAATTAAATCTCTGATATAAAAAATGTCGTACGTCTTCGGTTCCTATCAAAAAAACATAACTTTTTTTTTTTCAGTAGGACTTCTCAGTCTCTCGGCCGGTTTACATTAAATTCATTGTTTGTGTTGTGTACGATACACCTAATTTACATAAGTGGAGTACCGACCATACAAATATGGGTTGGTACCGGAAGACGGGAGAGATAAAGGAAGATTAAGAGATCGAATCGAGAGACTCTGCCCGACTGCAATTAAGTCAACCCATTCTGCAGGAACAGTCTTCCCAAGAATATACCAAAACTAACTGTAAATATTGTGTACCCTTTTCTTGTTTCAATACATTTTGTTAACGTACATTTTGTGTTGTATTATTATTATTCCATGCTTATCCAAGTTTCAACAGTTTGAAATAACAGGAATTTCTATTCAAGCAAGTGTCCACCTCTTGATATAAAGCTTGCTGTAATAAGAAATAATCTTGGATAAAACAAAATTATTTAATTGTTTCACAATTACTTTGCTTATGCTTCGGGTACGAAAATAAATTTGGGCAGATATAGAGTGCGAGAGATCCCACCGATCGATGTGCATTTCGTAAAGCAATAATTGAATCTTGTCTCAACAAGATCGTTTTCTATGATCTAATCTGGATGGTACATTTAAATGAAAAGCGATTATGATCTAAAAAAAAAAAAAGAAAGGGTAATACAATTTCGATTCCTATCGGGAGGCATATTTTCTTTTGTAACAATTCTTGATATACAGAACGTTTAATTTTAATTTTACTTTTAACTTTAATTCCACTGACTACTCAAATACATGTATCCACTAAATATAACGTTTATAATGATAATAAATAATACTGAATTTAAAAATACATTTATTACTCAGATTATTTCTCAGGTACAAACAAAACGTGAGCAGAAATGTCTTCGAAAGGTCTTATCGAGATATGTCCATTTCTTAAATAGGTGATCGGAGTGAGACCTAATTGGCAACGTAGACTTCGTTTAAAATTATTTTTCTTTGCGGTAAAAAAGAATGTAAGTTTTATTCACATCAGAGAGCATATATCCTTTCTCTACGTCGGGTTTGAAACACCTTGAAACATCTGTTCTTGTATGATCACCGAAGTTAAGCAGCCTCGTGCTTGGTCAGTACCTAGATCGGTGACCGCTTTGAAATACCAGATGCTGTCA